GAGCACTAATCATAATACGAGAAGCATGTCAATCTTCAGAATCAAGATAGTCTAGTATTGAACCTGATACTAGTTGGTTATATGGGAAAGGAGAGACTGTTTATGAGGTTTCCTAAGCTCCCAGACAGTGTTGAAAAGCACAGGATTACATAAGTTCCAAACATATATTAAAGCTTAAATGGCATGAAAACAGGCTTTAGCTAACCAGTATAACATCAGGAATTCAGCAGGTTGGACAGGAACGACTTAACTAGGTCTGAAACACATGCATGGATTTATCACAAAGGTACAGGACAAGGTAGGGGATACGCATTAATCCACAAGTAGCAAGGAAATCATGCTTAGGCTAATAACATAATCAGGAGTTAACTATAAAACATTATTAATATGCACATAAATGCCTTAACAGGAATCAGAACAGGTCCTGGGCATGATTCAACTTATCCTAAGAGTACAAAACCATGCAAGATGCTACACTCGAACCAAACAACAATGATAAACATTCGAGCACACACATTAGAGCCAACAGACTTAAGAAGAAACAGAACCAAGGCATCAATTAGGCAAGTTTGATTACTAGAAGTCATAGAGCCTCAAAGAATAGCTTCAAAGCATACAATAGCACGTTGGTTCATAAAATCTCAGAGGCATAGATATACAGAGCAGGAATTCAAACGAGAAGAAAAAAAATAAAATTGCAAGAGTCATAGCCACATTACCAGTTACAGATGAACAAGTAAACAAGGGGAGTAATTTCAGCAACACTTCAATGTCAATAGCAAAACGAGCAGTAGAACCCAGGAATCTCAGTGTGTCAAAGTTTTCAAGGGTTTCAAATGAACCCCGGGCAGTGCTCACACTGAGAAAGGTTCGAGAATTAAATTTCGATGGCCTTGGCTTTCAGTCGGCCAAAAGATTAAGCCTCAGAATAGAATAGGACAAGAAAGAATAAGAGAAAAATAGTAGTTTTTGCGATTCAAAAGTCTCTCTTAGGGGAGTTGGGAGATGGGTTTATATAGTAATAAAAATTAACACACAAATAAGGAAATACAGTCAATCGAACATAAACAAGGAAAGAAGAACATGCAAAAATTAATTTAGAATCAGATTAAGAGAAGAAACCAGGTAAACCCTAGTTTGACTAGGATCAGAAATTGGCCGGAGATCTTGGTGAATCAAATCCTCATAGCCTTGCTATGAACGTATACGGACGGAATATCATCCAGATCTTGGAGAGTAAAGCTGATCTCCTTTTGATTCAGAGACTGGTACTTGCCAAAAATGGGCATGTACTAAGTAATACCATATTTACACAGGTAATAGCGGTATAATCCGGAAAAGGTAAGTAAATCATGGTAAGAATCCATGGATGAGTTGGATTCAGAGAAGAATTGGGGTGGCAGCTAGGGTTTGTGAGGTGAGGAGAGATTTTGAGAGAGTATAGGGGCGGACGATTTTAAAAAGTGGGTTAGGGTTTGGGGTTGTGCGGTTATAAGGATATAAGGGGGAGGTGTTGTGAGCCGTTGACCTTGAGAGATCAACGGCTGTGATTTTAAAGAGAGAGATAGGGCGGGTCAGCGGGGTCCCATCCAGGTTGGAGTAATAAGGGTCTTTGGTTTGGGCTGCTGAAGGCAAAATGAAGTGGGCCAAATATTTTGGCCTGAAATTCATATTAAAGCTGGGCCATAATTTAAATATATGAAAATTTATCAAAAAATAATTTATAAGAAGTAATTAACAAAATAATAAAATATTATTTATGTAGTAAAATGCTTTAAAATAATAGTTTTAACATTATAAAAATATAAAAATGCTATTTGGTACAAATGATGTGAAAAAATATAATTATGCATAGCATATAGGCTATTATTGTAAAATTATATAAATAGCCTAAAAATACAGATATAACTATATAAAATTATGAAACCTATATGGGGATACAAATAATAAATTTAGATGATTAAGTCATCACAAAATAGTTTGAAAGGGTAATTAGTAAATATTCAAGTAATTTAAATGTAAGAAAATTAATTATGAAAAATTATAGAAAATACTTGTATGACTCTTTGTAAATTGGTGATGGTGCAGGAATGATATTCAAAGCATATATGACATTTATAAAAATATGAGGGCAAAATTAGGTATCAACAAAGATTAGATAAGATAAGGAATGTTGATATTCGGAAAAAGGTGGGAGTGGCACCCGTAGAGGACAAGATGAAGGAAGCTAGATTGAGATGGTACGGGCATGTGAGGAGGAGGTGTATAGATGACCCAGTGAGAAGGTGTGAGAGGTTGGATCTAGGAGGGGGGGCTGAGGAAAGGTAGAGGTAGGTCTTAGAACTATTGGGGAGAGGTGACTAAGCACGACATGGAGGTTGAGAATTAGGGTAGAAGAGTAGTGGTTAAACGGGCGTATCTTATTTATATGTCGGTCTCATTAGCGTTAGTCTCGTATTTTCATTTCTTAGTATTTGCATATTTCTTTTACTATATGTCGTTTCTTTCGCTTCGGTTATTATATCACATTTACTTGCTATGGTTACTACTTGTTATTTCTGCTTTCTTTTTAGTTTTTTTCTCTTGAATCGGGGGTCTATCGAAAATAACCTCTACCTTCGTAAGGTAGGGGTAAGGTCTGCGTACACTCTACCCTCCCCAGACCTCCCTTTGTGAGATATCACTGGGTTTGGTGTTGTTATTGTTGTTGTTGTTGGAGGGGGCCTCTTGGATTCGTATCTGCCTGGGGAAGAAGATGGGGTTTAATTTATTGGGGTAGGGAATCTTTGGCAAATACCCAAGCGGCAGAAACTATTTATCCACCCATGCCCATGCGGTTAATGAAGTCAAAGAAGCTACTAAACCAAGCCATGTCAAGTAAAATCAAGTCAAGCCAAGCGAAGCCAATTCAAGCCAAGCCAAGCTAAACCAAGTCAAGCCAAATCAAGCCAAGCTAAGTCAAATAGATGGGTAAACTGGGTTAGTTTTAATTGGATATAACTAATTTTCAAATGGATAAAAAAAGATAATTATTTTAAGTTCAATGGATATTTTACATAAATTGTTCACCGTTTTTAGCATCTATTTTGGTCTCTTGAGTCCAAAAGGATTTACTTTGGTGGAGATAGTAATCTACTTTATTACTTAAGAGGCAAACATTAGCAAATGTGCTTCAAGGACGAGCTCTAACTCTTATGCCGAACACAAACTTGCCAGTCAAAATATACCCCTAATGTCATTGTTGTCCACAGTTCATTGATTATTAGCTTAGGCTTGTCAAACCTCCACCGTGACTTGGAAAAAGAAATGCCAAAGCTTGTCAAAGCTCCAGAATGGTTTAAAAACAAATCACATTTTACTTTGAGATCTTCAGATTTTTTTTAATTAACTAACAAATTACATCCATTCTAAGTAGATAATAGATGTCGTGTCACTCGCTCAGATTGTATTTATGATTGTCAAAGGTACTTATGTAACTCTCTAGTATCTAGAAGGCCATTCATTGAAAGACGCCTAAAGTAAAAGATGATCCGTAATTCTATCAATAAGCTTCCAAGCAAGTCATTCATGAATAGGCTAATACATTTTCCAGTTTCACCTAAGAGCCCGTTAGGATTAGCTGATTTGAAGTAGCTGATAAGCATTAGGGGCTGAAAAGCACTTTTAAGTGCTGAAACTGATTTAATAAATAAGCAGTTACGTGTTTGGATACAAGTGTTGAAATTGATAATAAGTTGCTGCAGTATTTAATAAAAAAGTGTTGATAAGCTATTTTTCTGTTAAAATGACTTAAATAACCTTAGAAGTGTTTACACTTATAAGGGCGTAATTTCTTCAAAATTTTAGATTCCAAATACAAAATATTCTATTATCATTTTATTTTAAATACAATTGTGCTTAGATAAGATAACTTTTATGATAAATATAATTTATTTTATGATAAGCATATAATCATAAGTTATAGTAATTAATAAATTGAGAAAAGTTTCTCAGCAAAAAATAAACCTAAATAGGACAAAATATTTGAAAAGAAATAAACATTGTCTTTATCACCACAACACTTAGAAAGCAACATACCAAAAATTTGATATGTTCTCATTTATTACATACAGTTCAAAGATTAATACACAATCACATAGATATAAATATGCAAAGGAATAGAGAATTTGCTTATCTTAAATAGTCAATGAGCATTGCAGACTTGAAGAGGCGGGGGAGGGGGAGTTAGGTTGAAATAGTGCTTGAGGCAGTGAGTATCGATGCAAGAGTTTTGTTCTAAAAAAATATTTTAAGGATAAAATAGTAAAAAGTTTGGTCAAACTTAAAGTGCTTATAAGCTAAAAATTTATAAGGTGGGGGTGACCAGCTTATGGCTTTTGGCTTATTTTTTACTTATAAGCACTTTTAACTTTACCAAACTCGTAGATAAGCCAAAAAATGCTTATAAGCTAGTTTGACCAACTTATAAGCTTAGCCAAACGCCCTCTAAGTTTGTCGAAGCCACTGTTCTGATGGATAAAGTTGGAACCTTAATTAGTGTAGTGTTTGCACCAAGTTGTCTGATTTCGGCAATAAAAATGCCTTGTAACATTTCCAGACAATGTTAGTATTAACAAAAGTACTCCAGTTTATCAAAAAAGAAATTGTTTTTTTTTTTCTCCGATTAGTACAAAACCAGAAAACCAGAAGCAATGCAAAATAACGTACTATTTTTCCTTACCTAATGAATTCTAAAAGATTCATCTATAGGCTCCCAGATAAACAACGATTATATATTTAGAATATAGCACTAATGGCCCCTAAAAAAAGATACAGGATCACTTCATTTGAAAACTACAGCATGATGGATAACATAACGACCCCACCTAAAGATGCTTCTGCAGGGGGTCCATGATTAAGTTGTAAGTACCTGGTTTAGTTTGTGAGAAGGAAAAACAAGAAATAGTAGGCAGCTCGAAAAGTAATAAACTGAAATATAGGGCATAGTTTATTTTTCATTCTCACGACGTAGGAAGTTGTGGAGTAGTTNAGCTTCCAGATTGTTGAATTCTTCTCCTTAGTCCCTGCAGCACAGCTGCTCTGTCCAAAAACTCTGGATACAGACCCAAGTCAAGCATCTTAATTACTGTCTCTGCAGCATTCTCAAAATGTCCACCTTTAATATAACCTCTCAACAGCCATGACAATGTTTTCTTTTTCTGTACTGAGCTTGAAGCCTCCATTCTGGTGAGCAACCTTGAGATGGAGCCTAGCTCCGGCTCTTTCTGGGAAGCACATATTGCTAAGACAATGTCATGAACATCTCCGCTGACTTCCTTGCCAACTAACTTCATTTGCCACAAATGTCTCTCAGCTTCTATTCCACGCCCAGCACATACATACATTGCAACAAGCCTCTCATGAACCACCCCAAAAAGAGAAGGACCTCCTTCTCTAATCAACCAATTGGACAATCGCACACCCTCAGCCAACAGATCTGCTTGATATTCTTCAATGAGCCTTAGATTTTCTAAATCAAGCTCCGCAATGACACCAGTTTTGGCGAAACCTTTCAATTTGCGCAAAGCTTTTCCAAAAACATTCAGCTCTTTTACCACAGCTGTCATTGCAATCAAATAGCTGTATATTTCTGGCTTCAACCCAGAATCTCGAATGTCAATAACTAATTTGACTGCATCCTTGTAATTCCCCTCCTCCTGACAGGAAGATCAAAGCTTATAAGACATGGATATAACTTGGCAAAGCAAATCCTGGAAGCAGGAAAATTCTGCATCACAGCCCTTCAATCTAAAGAATCCCCCCAAGAGTATACAAATTTTATTTTGCACAAAATGCACTGCGTATTAGTAACAGAAAAATCCTCTTACCTTCTCACTCCTCAAATAACTTATACAACTAAAAGACATCATCAACTGAACTTTTTAGCTATTTTAGAAAATATTTTAAAACCAAATGTCCAGCCTCAAAGAATTTAACTAGTTAGGATTGGCCCATGCACTATATTTAAATTTGAACATTGTTGTTCGCATATTTTTTTCTACTTTTCGCTGTTATAGATCATTAATTATCGAACAAATTTTAACAAAGTTAAAAGAAGCTTTTCCCATCAGTTCTTATTGTTATTGTTTTTGTTATTGAAATAATATACATTGATAAAATGTTAGTGTATACAATGAAAAAAATGTGTTCAACTCTATGACTAAAAATAAATAAATTCTAGTATCTTAACAGTTTGTTTTAAAGATTCTCCCGCTTTCCTTATTTTAATTATATACCCAAATTGGTGTTGTATAGACTTCCAAATACATGAATTAAACTTTCAGAGACTTTTACTTACTCTCTTTATACACCATCCTCTCTGTTTCCCGAGACTTGCTTGTATCTATCCTTGTCAGATTGTCCAAATTTACCCGCATAAACTAATCTGCTTTATGTATTGTCAATTCCAAAGTATCTTTCTTGCTCAGATACTTGAGCTCCATTTACTACTGCTAAAGAATCTCATAACCAAGAGAGTTATTTCTTCAATGATGTTGAACGAAACTCTTTCAACACTTTTGGTTAATTTCAGAATCATTCACAAAGTCAGATCACCATTTTGGAATCATGTCTTTGGTTCGAGAGATCTCCTTGTTCTAAATCATGTATACGAACCATTTTCGGAATTAGATCTCACTTAAGAGATTATTTGGCAAATAAGGTAATGAATCACAACCACAACTTTTTTTTGTTGTTCATTTCATTTGATACCGGGTTACAGCGTGAGAGAAATTTTCTACATATATCTCTCATCTCTCTGTTGGTCCTCAAGACCTTCAGGTCTTTCAAACTTAAACTTTTTTTGTTCAAAATCTCTAGAATTCATGTCAGAAATCATAAAACATTTGGAATCCCGCATGGTATGCTTTACTGCATAAAACATTTGTTGCACTATGCTATATGCTACTCCCTCTATTCCAATTTATGTGATCCTATTTGACTGAGAACGGAATTTAAGATAGAAATGAAGACTTCTAAAATTTATGGTCCTAAATAAGCCATAACATTTATGTGGCTATAAATCTTTTGAGGCGAGTGGTGTTAAACATGCCAAAGTATTTGTGTGACTATAAAAGCTTCTAATTGAGGGTAGAATTGAAAGTTTATGTAAAATTATCTTCAAATCTAGAAAGAGGTCATTCTTTTTTGAACGGACCAAAAAGGAAATAGGTTCACATAAACTAGAACGGATTAAGTAGTTTTCTTAATTAATTTTTTTCTTATTTGCCAAAGAATCTCTGAAGCGAGATCTGAGATATTTCTAATATTAGATCATATCCACACCTTGGGAACAAGGAGATGCCCTAGACCAGAGATATGATATCCCAAAATGGTGATATGATTTTGTAAATGATGCTGATATTCACCAAAAGTCTCTTTCGGCATCATTGAAGAAGAGAGCTCTCCTGGTCACAAGATTCTTAAGCAATATTAGAAGCAAATTAACTTATGCATGTAAATTTGGACAATTCAACCAGGATAGACACAAGCAAGTCTTGGAAAATGAAAAAAAGGGATGGTGTCTATAAAGAAAGTGAGTCTCTGAAAGTCTATACTACACTAATGTTCGTCTATATTTAAAAGAAAAGGAAAAGCAGGTACTTCTTTAAAATTATATATGTGAGTGTGTGTGTACCACACCTGAAGTTACTACCCGACCTTTTTCCACTCTAATGGGTATTAACCTCTTTCTTTCTGCTATATAATAAGATATTGGACCATGTCACTTCCTCAAAAATAAAATAAAGAGCAGTTTAACTGGAAAACAGAGTTTGGAGCAATAAATTCACAGTGAAGTAGTTCAACATGCTGAATCCAATACCAGCATTGATGAGTAACAGTAACCAAAGAAACCACATTTTAGTGAAAGATCTAAAATACCGATAGAGAACATGTCAATAGTTTAAGGAGTTCTACAACCATTAAGGATTAAGGAAAAATTCCACCTACATTATATGCTCTCCTCTCAACTTTTATTGGTATTCTTTTCCATTTTGGTGTGGGAAAAACAGATCAGAGTTAATTGAACATTGACCATGTCCTGTTTACGCCAATACCAAGTTCCTGCCATCCAACCTATTAAACCCTTTGAAAATGCCAAAATGGAGAAAAACACTCTTCCTACGTAATTTGCCATAAAGGCAATATAAACATGGCTTCTTAAAGGAGAAAATTTTTACGAGTTTTATGCGAGCAACGAAGTTTTCACAGAAGAATTATAGGACACAAAAAGAAGAGTTTTGAGGACCTTTTCCCTCCTTCCACACACCCCCATCTCTTTGTAGCTTTTTTGCCTCATCACCTGCATATTCTTATGCCACTCACATGTCACATGCAAACCTTCACATACCCAGAAAGCACATCAAGCACCTTTTTCTTCACCCTTCAATCAAACTCATTCAGTGCCTTCTTGAAGAGAGCAAAGAAAAAGAAAGGAAGAAGAGTAGAAAAGGGGTGCAATGGAAGCAAGTGACATATGAAGAACCAGATAACTTGGCTTTGTTGGGTTGGCTGAACTGCTATTGCAAGTTGCATGAAATATGACCGGCAAGGCTGTGCGGGAGGTTTTTGTGGCACGGTGAGGAAAGCGGCTAAGTTGGACAAAATAGGGTACACTTTGGATATGAGTGAAAAGAGATGGGCAAGGGACTAATCAAATTTCTTAATTAAGAATGATATGTTTTTCGCCCTTAAAGATAAAGTGCACGGCTTGTTTAAAGTTTATGAACATTTAAACTACATAGACTTTTTGATTAATTTTTAGAGCAGTTTTCTGGTAAAAGATAGAAAAAATTCAGTAGCTTCTGGTGCACTCTACCATTCGGGATTAGAAAACACGTCTGTGTTTGTCCACCATCAGCAGTCGGAAAAAAAATAGTAGCTTAGGTTCACATCATATTCCTAGTCTACATGTATTCTAGTCTCGGAGCTTCAACATACCCCCCATGGAGAAAAGTTCAGAATACGAATGCAAAATTAATAGTAAATGATAATTAATACATTGTACTTTTCCTAAATTACCCAAATGCAATAGTTGGATGATCTCTACGTGAAAACAAACCAATTGCAGATCAAGAATGACACACTATATGTACCTGTAAAATGGAATATATAAGCATATATATTAGTATCGCACACAGCAAATGGCATTCAGACTCTTACCTATCAGCTAATGGAGAGTGCTTTATCACTGTATCACTAAATTTTCTACTTTATACATATAATCATTCTAAATTTAAAAGTTAGGAAAGATATTCTCATAACTTTTTAACAACACAATTCCACCTAGCTAACTAAAAGGTTAATGACTATATCAGGATTACCATCACCTTCCAGGAAAGCCGGGGCATAAGCAGGATTTTTCATAAGCGGTGTCGATATTTAAAGGAGTGAACAGATAAGAAAATCACTGCTGTGAGATCATATTTTAAAAACAAAATTCAAATCATATAAAAAAGTTCAAGTATATTGCTATCTCCTCGACGAGTTTTTATTTTTGAAACATTCATAATTATCCTCATTAAGAATAATACTAAATAATTCTTTTTCTATATAACGAACCAAATAATCACTCAAAAGCTTATTATTTATTTGATTCTGCAAATTGGTCTTAACCAACTTCATCCCGAAAAAGAAGATGTGTATTCTTACCACTTACAATGGAAGCAGCAGAAAAAGATAAATTATTCTGCGTACATCACACAATTTGGACTCATGCCAATAGGTTTTGTCCTTACCATCCGAGAGGTCAATGGTTCAATCCTTGCTAACATATATGCTTTTAAGCACAGATAAGGCAAAAATATCTCAATCAACATGCATGTAAAATTGGCGGGGTTTGAACACATGACCTCAATTAGAAGAGAGAGGTGCTCGACCAGGCGAGCTATGGAGCAGCTTGTATCAAGCAGTTGGTGCATATCCCATATTTTGTTTCTGCAAATTAATTACATATGCATATTTAGTAAACTTCTCCTACTAAGCGGTGTCACTGCTTGAGCCTACGTGTGTCCTGCCCTGCAAACAAGATAACTGGTAGGACAAGCCCTTATGCACATCTGAGTATGCTATTTGCACCCTCAACACCTCCTTCACAGAAAAGACAGCTTCCTCCCTCACACCCACCAATATGAAGATATGACCTAGTTAACATATCGTAAGGTTGGGCTTCAATCAACTCAGTTCATCTCCATGAGCCGGTGTACAACACCCACCCACCCCGGCCTCATTATTCGCCTCAATCAACTTATTCACCGATCTAAACATTACCATGAGCATCGTCTCTTATTGACAATTATACCCATTTTGAATTCTCAAAAATACCCTTAACAGTATACTGGAGTACATTAACATGGGAGGATTTTCCGTCTTTTTGCAAAAAGTAAATCCAACATATTTGGTACTGCCAGCCTCCCTCTCCCTAGTCCCTAATGAGTCTCTCTCTCCCCTCTATCTCTCTCTTCTGCTTCTCTTCTTTCCCACCCTATTTAAGATTATTAGATTCTCATGAGCATTATCAAAGTAAATGGATATCATGGTCTAATCTCTAAAAACTAAAACGTATGTTTAATTTTGGTAAACCCCTATAATATGTTTGATTAAACCCGCGTTCATCACTGCATTTTGTTTTCATGATAGAGATTTTAGGACGACCTAG